TTTGCTCTTGACTGCGCCCGACAAAATGCCGACGGACCAGATCGTCTGCACCCCCCACACCAAGGTGCTGGCAATCCTGCTCGCGACCCAATTGGGTCCAAGGCCCCAGCCAACCTGTAAGCCGCGGTTATGCACACGCTCCCCAACCCGGCAGCAGGTTTTTCGCCGACACCCTTGAGAAACCCATGCGGCTGCGTGCTGGCAGGCCGGCGCACGCCGCCACCGGCGCGGCTGCAGCGTCCCCTCCATGCTTGCCAAGCAGATTGAGCACCTGCCAGGCGCACCTGACGTCCCTTGTTGCCTACACCCATTGGCGCACACACTTTAACGGGTGCATGGGGTTGGACGTCCAACTCCCATGCCACTAGTTCCTGCTCAAGAGCCAAGCAGGCGCCAACCTGGGCGGCAGGGTAGGGCGTCCCTGTGAGGCATAGGGCTACATCACCCCCGCGCCACAGATTAAGTAAGGCACAAGGTTTGGATAATTTAGGAATTAAGGTTGGGATTGCAATTGTTACAGCGCCCGGCAGACGCCTGCTTCTGGAGCCATCCAGGCTCACGGGATTAGACTTTGGCAATGTGTGGCTGACAGGTGTGACCGAGATTCGTGTGTCGAGTCACAAATACTTACATACGGTTACTAGTGTGTCGAGTCACCAATACAGGTCCTCATGCCAGCCGTCGTCGCAGGCCGGATGGACTTTGTGGATCTGCTCATTGTGTCCGCTCTTTGCGTCGAGGGCTTTGGCGGGCGGGAGCGAGGGGCCCAGCAGCGGCCACAGCAGCGGCGGCGGCTCCAAGGCAGCAGGGCGACCGGAACGCGCCGCCCGCTGCAATTAGCTCTCTTTAATGTTTGCAAGTGATTGCAATATTGCCACGCGGGCCAGGACGGAGTGCATGTGGTCACCTGATGCACGGGTCTGTTGCTTGGGGCCCGGAGATTGGAGACTGTTGATAGCAAGGTGAGAGTGGCGTACATACCCCCACGGCGTGCCGCGGGCACGATGTACAATATACGTTTTGCTTACTGCAACACCCTTTTGCGCCTGCACGGGTTCGTTTGCACTGGCACTGGCACCCTTTGTTCTTGTCAATCACTGGGCTGCATGCCCGTGTGTGAAATCTCCTCGTCGCTGTGAATGTTGCATAACCTGCTGTCACCACAAGCCAAACCTACGCGTTGCGCAGCGGTGCCTGAGCGTCAAGATGTTGCTACCAAGCAAGGGCATTCGATTCCTGCAGGATGGATGGCTGTCATCTGGGAACTGTGATTGATTAGTTGCGCAACGTGCGGCGGGCATCTGTTTTCGCCAGGAAGCATGATTGCGTATACACCAAGCCTACATAGCACACGGCAATGCCAAGCCGTTTCCTGTGATGGAGCCTTGCTCTTGTGACCAAAAGCGCCTCTTGCTCAAGGGGCGCTCGCGCCCGCTCCTGCACCGGCGCGCTGCCCCGCGGCGCGGCAGCGCCCCTGCATCACTCAGACAGGCGTGTCGCAAAGGGCGGACAACTTTTGTGTGCTATTCTGTTCCTTGATATGATTATTTGTCAGTGTTGATGGCGATAGAAGCGGGTGACCGCTGGGTGCGTAACAACCCTAAATCAACCCTGCTGTATCCTGTGCTGGCCAGCACCTCGCAATGAATTCATCTGCCTTCTTAAGCGCACGTTTACAAATGCAAAGGATGATTGACCAACAAGAGAATTTGTGCCAGTCCAAAGCAGCAGTAAACGTGACACGCCGCCAGGGGATATGGGCCTGAGCGCGCGAGGCATAGTTGAAGCAGCTGCAATCTATCACATTGCTGCGCCCGTGGGTTCTGTGTAAGGCAGCAAGCAGCGGCACACAACCTCGCAGGCTGGCACGCGTGCGGAGCAGCATCAAAGCTCTCCAATATCCGGGGTCAAGGCCCAGCAGCAGGGCATCTGTTGCGAGTTTTCGCGTGCCGCGCCTGCTGGCGCGTGACAGCCCAACGAAAGTGAGATGTGCTGAGCCCTGTGCACCTGTTCCCTGAGGCCTGTTGGGGTCTGTAGCTGCCCAGAACGGTGACGAGGGTGGCTTATGGGGTTACTTTACTGGTGTCAAGTGCTTCGGCTGCCCTGGTAGGCGCAGACGCCTCCTAGATGTGTAACCTGGGGCAAAGGCACGTGATATTGTTACAACAGTTGCGGAAGCATGCCGGCAACCGCATTGTGGCCGTCAGGGAATGAACTGACAGCCCTCTCCCCTTGGGCGGGGTGGCTTAAGAACAAACGGGGCGCGCGCACAGCGCGCCGCGCTCAGGTGACGGGTGACGTCACTTGCCCGGCAGCTGCAGATGGAAGCTGCCAAGGGAAACTACAGGCAAACTCAGCCAAACGCGCTGTTCTTAAGCGTTCAGGCTCATGCAATCAACAAGCAAGCATGTATTAGTGCTTTGTACAGGACAGAAGCGGAGTTTAAGGCCAAACCATGGCAAGTCCTGCTCTGGGTGCAGCATCACTACTGATGTGCCACCCCTCAAGGGCGGCAGCCGCAGGTGTCAGTCTGGGCGATCACACACTGCAGAATGCGTCGCGCAAAGTTACTTTTTGCACACGCTGTGCGTCCACACATCCGCCGAGGGGCTTGCACAACTGCGTCCTGTGCGCGTAGTGCATGGCGCACTGAGATGGCTCGCGCCAGTCAGGCCTGCTGCCACCCCTGCCAAGCGGAATTCAGCTTGGTGGCCTCGCCGCGGTTGTCTGTGGGGTTGCGCCGCCTGCACCTTGCGGTGTCCAGGACCTGCCGGCCCACAACCCTTTCCATCAAGTACCAGCTGCATGTGGTGAACGCGTCCAAGGCCGTCACGCCGGTGCCCAGCAGAACGCCCCTTCCTTGTGGTGCTGGCAGCGAATAGGTGTACAGAAATGGGGGCAATGATTCCTCGCGCAACCTCAGCTCCTTGCACGAGTCCCCCAAGTTGAGGGGAGAGCACACGTCGCTCGTCTCCTGCACGACACCGTTGACCCTCCGCAAGAAAACGACGCGGATGCGCCCCCCTCCGCCAGACGACACCCAGTCCTCCAGGTCCTTCTTCGTGGTGAAGGGAAATCTGTTCGCTGTCCTGGGACCGGCTGAGTGGATGAACTGCAGGTCTTTCCGGGCATAGCCCACCCCGCTGAACGGGCCCAGCCCGTGCACGTCAGCTGCGTGGGCCGCCGCCTTCATGGCATCCGCCACGTCCTCGATGGCCAGCCACTCGCTGCCGTCCACGCTGCCGGGCCCCGCCGCTGCGCGGTTGTCCACCGTGCCGCTGCTGCCGCTGGTCCTGGCGGGGCGCGTCGCGAGCTGCTGCTGCTGCTGCTGCTGCTGCTGCTGCTGCTGCTGCTGCTGCTGCTGCGGCTGCTGCTTCTGCGGCTGCTGCTGCTGCTGCTGCAGCTGTTGCTGCCGCTGCTGCCGCTGCTGCTGCTGCTGGTGGACGTCGTGTTGCTGCGGCGGCGGGGGCGGGAGAGGTGGAGATGGCTGCTGCGAGGGCGACGGGGGTGGCGGCAGCGGCAGCGGCAGCGGCGGCTGCGGCTGCTGCAGCTGGCTGCCCTGCTGTGTTGCCCGCTGCGGCTGCGGCGGCGGTGCCACGCCGAAAAGAACGACGACCGCGCCCAGATTGTCCTCCTCGAATCCCCAGGACCTCCCCGAGTCCTGCACGACCCTCAGGATTGCGTTTTTGAGGGGGCACGACGGCGGGGTGCCGTGGGGGCGCCGGGCACGGCGTTGTGGTTGCCCATGCCCGTGATGATCCGGAGGATAATGCCCTGGCCGCCGTGGGCGTGGATGTCCTCCATCGTGTCCAGCCACAGCTGCGTCCGCCTCCACCCGACGTCGACGCTCATCCAATGCGCATCGATCGTGTGCTGGTTGGGGCTGTCGAGCCCCCGGCCTGGGTCTGCTATGGCGTCGAGGCAGAAGTGGCGGGGCAGCCACACCTCCTTCCCTTGCGCGCGCCTGATGCGCTTGGCGGGGGCGCATCCCGGCCATTGCTGCCACTCCCACTGCCGCTGCTGCCACCGCTGCTCCTGCTGCTGCCGGCTCAGCTCCACCACAACCGCACGGGGGAGCTCGCGCCTGTCGTAGGCGTTGTAGCCTTGTCCCCGCAGCCTGCCGACCACCTGCACGTGCGCCACCGACGCACACATGACCAGAGTGTGTGTGCACAGAGCTGTTAGCAGCAATAAAACTCAGGGCCGAACATGTTTTGGAGTGGCTCGTAGAGGGAACTGTAAGTAGGTAAATGTGTGTTTCATCAAGTTTCACTCCATGCGCACTTGCACGACTGGCAGCATGATCACCAGCAGGCCAGTGCTAGACAGCGCACAGATGCATCAATGACGCGGACTTTACCCCCCGTAGCCACAAACAACTCAGCAGGGCAAAAACCCGATCAGGTAGGCAAAGATATTCGTGCTGCTGTACAAGCGCTCCTCACCCAAGGGACATCGCGCGAGTCGACTACCAGCCGCACCACGTTCCTGCCGCTGGTCGCGACATCTTGCAGCGAGTGCAAGGCCTCCAGCTGTACACCCAGGAAAAAGAAGGGGGCGCCCGGGCGCGCGTCAAACACCATCAGGTGCTCCCGATGGTGATTCGCCTCCCTTTGGATGGGCAAGCAGGGAGGAGCAAGGGCGTGGGGACGGGATGCTTTGTGCTGCGTTGTGTGGGTGTGTGGCGTTTTGGCACCCTTGCTGAGCAGTTGACAGCATCCTGCAACATCGCTGGATGTGTGCTGCCTGGTGTGGTTTCAAATCCACCAGCAAACTTTCTGTGTTTGCACCGCGGTCCCAGCGCCGGCCCTGCCACCGGGATCATGCCCGTCCCGCCTAACCGTGCGAGGCTCTCTGCTCACCGAAAGGCCAGCGCGCTGGCGTCCCTCTGCAGTTCCTACTGCTCTTTCAGCATGGACGCCTGGGCGGCTCGGGCGTGCAGGGCGCCCACGAGGTCCCTGCAGGAGTGCCAAATCAAGGTTTTGACGTCAGACCATGAAGGTGCTAGTGCCTCTCGCCCTGAATTCAGGTTACCGATCGTGGTAGTGAAAACCAATCAGTAGGACTAGTCCTGCTGACAGCCGCTGCTCCCGCTGCTTGCTTGCATTGCATGTGCATTGCCCGGCCCGCCAACCCACAGCCCACAAAGGCAGGACGCCTGGTGCTCGTCCTTCACGCGTCTCATGCAGCTTACGTGGTTGTCGGCGCCTGGTCTTGCCTGCGTCCCCCCTGGTCGACGGCGGGCAATGCCTGGGGTTGCGGGGCTTGCTGTTGCTGCGCCCGTGCATGGTCCTCATGCGACCGCTTACGTTCGCCAGCCACCTGGGGCATGCTTTGGCAGTCCTGAGGCGACGCGAGGTCCAGTAGATGGCCGCCGCGGGACCTTCAGGCTGCT